CAGACCCCCAGCCCCTCGGGACCGGCTGGACGGGGTGGGGGGGTTAGGGGTAAGGGGTTTTCTGCCCAGCGGGACGGGCTGTGCCTACTCACTCCAGGAACTCGAAGTTGGACTTCTTATCCAGTGCGTTTTGAGGCATGTCCTTATAAAACCTCCTGCGAGAAGGGAGGGACATCAGACAGCCGCCCTGCGCTCACGTCCCCCCACGCCCCCCCCTGCCACGTCCCCCCACCACGGCAAAGAAAGAGCTGGAAACTCCCTTCTCTCCTGCAAAACCCTCCACGGCCCCAGACCCTGCTCCCCCCGTCCTCCCCAGCCCTCCCGCTGCAGCAGACGGGCCAGGACAGGCGGAGGCACGTACCTGAGCTCGAGGCAGCCCAGCTGCAGGGCCATGCCTTCGCTCACCTTGCTGGCGTAATTCTGCATGTACTCGCTCCGGAGCTGCCGAGGAGATGCGGGGGTCAGGAGGCGGAGGGGACACCGGCAGGGGATGCTGGCAGGGGACACTGGCAGGGGATGCTGGCAGGGGACGCTGGCAGGGGATGCTCACAGGGGATGCTCACAGGGTCCACACCCTCCCGCATCCCGTGCTGGGATGCAGCAGGGGCAGGAGCGGGGTGAAGGGGCTGGGACTGGCTGTCCCTGATGGGGATGGGATGTGGATGCGACCACAGGGGCTGCCCGTCAGCAGCCCAGGGTGAAGGTGAATGGGCTGCAAGGTCTTGGACCTCTTGGGAGTCACTTTTTCTGGGCCGGGGAGGAGGAAACGCCCTCCTGGAGCTGGGGGGTGGGTCAGCTGGAGAGCAGACCTGGCTGGGGCTAGGAGACCCCCGGGGCCGCCTCTGACCTGCTGGTAGAAGTAGAGCAAGGTGGTCCTGTCCTCTTTGAATCGCTCCACGAAATCCTCTGGCAGATAGCGGATCTGGAGATCGTACCTGGCAACAGGAGAGTCCCTCGATGAGGACCATGCTGGAGGAGCTTTCCCTCTAATGGGGCTCGGTGGTTCCTGTGCCCCTGTCCCATGTGGGTTTGGGGACACGGAGAGGGACACCACCACCATGGGGTCCTACCTCCACTCAGCCTCCAGGTGCAGGCACTCGTACTTCTCCTGCACTTCGCCCACCGTCAGGTCTGGGTGCAACCAGTGGATCTCGTCCGACTTCACATGTTTCAGGCGGAGCCCGTAGCACTCGGCCAGCTTGATGTCAGGCCCGATGCGACCGCTCACCAGGATGGACCTGATCACCTCCTGGGGTGGAAAGGAGCAGGGCTGAGACCCGAGCTTCCCCAGCCGGGCTCCAGATGAGCTTTAGATAGCAGGAAAATGAGGAGGAAATACAGCACAACCGCAACACAAATGTCCCTGGAGCGAAAACACAGCCCCGGGCACAGCCATCAGCCCCAACGGCCTCCATGTGAAGCCTCCAAAGATGCCTCCAGCTTGCTCTGCAACAACCCACAGGCTGAACATGTCTCATCCAACCTCCCAGAGATGTTTTGGTCGGGGATAAAAGCCCAGCTGGGTCATTTCCACCCTTCCTTATGCCTCAGCTGAGCTACACCCGATGCACGGCATCGGTTGCGAGCAGGTAGCAAAGCAGACACCACTGTTGCCGGTGAGCTTGCAGTGCAGCTTGTTTCTCCTGCCCCAGAACTGGAGCAGTGCGGGCAGGGAGTGCCCAGGACCCTGCCCGGCCTCTGCTCTCACTCTGGCCGCCGAAAAGCCAACTAAAAGCTGATGGTTATTAACACAATCGGTGGCCAAGCTGTCCTCGAGGAGTGACCGCCGCCGGCTTGCTCCACTCCTGTGTCCTGCTGGCTGCGCTCCCATCCCTGTGTTGGGGACAGCCAGACTGTTGCCATTTCATGGCTTCGCTTGCATTTCCCCTCCCCAGGCATCTCCTTCCCAGCCTGATGAGTCCTCTCCCGCTCCGACCCCTCCTCTGAAACCTTCTGCTATGCCCACAACCTCCTCCTGGAGGTGAGAGGAGGGCGACAGCCCTGTCCCCCTCCACGTCCCACCAGTTGAGGAACAACCCTCAGCTCAGCTGTACTTTGGTCACCTCCCTGTGACTTCATCGCAATGCACTGTCCCGAGGACCTTGCCCCAGGAGAAGGCACAGCATCACCCATTGCACCCAGGGCGTGCATCCCTCCTGGTGGACACCAACCCTGCAGCACCCAAGCGCAGAGCTGGCGCTGGCCAGCAGGTCCCCAGCGCCCACACATCTTCCCCTGGCTGGGAAGCTGCAGGACGCCAGGTAGGAAGGGTGAGGAGTACATTTCCAGCCCAAAGCCACCATGTCCATGATGGAAAGGCACCAACAGCACCTTTTCTGTCCGCCCAGCCCCATGTCCCCACAAGCAAAGGTCAGAAGTGGGATGCAGAAGTCCCAGTGGGGTGGGAGGAAGGACCTGGGTCCTGGCTTGCAGTACAGGCCAGAGAGCAAGAGGTGCTGCTGGCCTCGGAGCTGGGTGCACCCCCGGGGTGCCTAGGGGTGGCAGAGTCACCTGAGCAAGGCAGTGACACCGCGACGTGGCCATGGGGAAATGCTGAGGGCTTGGGGCTGTGAAGGTCACTGTCCCCCTCACCACTGAGGACCCGTGGCCGTGCAGGTCAGCGGGGACGGAGGCAAGGTGGGGACCCAGCTCCCGCCGGTCCCCAGCCTTCTCCTGGCAGCGTGGGCTGAGCCCCAGCTCTGCAAGGCACCGTCGTGTCCCAAATCCACTTGTCCTCTGGCCTCCTCCCATTGCTGCCTGCACCGCTGTGCCCAAGGAAGTCTTCTCCAGGGCGAGATGAACCGTGGCCTGGAAACTCCGCTTTGGTGCCCACAAAGGAGACCAGCAGCGACTTGCCGGGGCCGATCCTCGCTGCAGGAATTGGCAGCGGGGACGACGAGCCCTCGCCCTTTCCAAACTCCCCTGGGCCACCAGAGATGGACAAATTTTCTCTCTATCCTCCAGGTTTTGGTGCTTCTCAGCCACAGGGCTCTGGGGGCTACCATGCCATGGGAAAGGGTGTCTGGAAGGGAGCTAGCTCTGATGCCGGGTGGACAAAACGGCCCCCCCTCCCCTGCCTTGTCCACCCCCCTGCCCACGTACCCGGATCTCCGTCGTCACGGGGCACTTCACCAGCTTGAAGTTCTTGCCCATGTTGAAGCTGTTGCTGTAGAAGCAGACCTTGAGGATGCGCATCTCTTCCTTGTCCATCTCCAACGTCCCCATGCCCACGGTGGCCTCCAGCGTCCCGGCCAGGCTGCGGGAGGAGCTGCTCCGCGGGCGACCCAGCGCCTCGGGGATGGCTGACATCCTCACCAGGT